GAGCCGGGCGATGGGCGGGCTGGGCCCGTCAGCCCCCACGGGCGCAAGGGTACGGGGCGAAGGGAGCCGCTCTATGCTACACCGCTGTTCGCGGTCTTTCTCTCCTCTTACTGGGCGTCGCTGCAGGCTGGTGTGCCTGTGAAGGGGAGCAAGGAGGGAAGCCTGCTTGCTCAGTAGACTAGTTTCCATCCCTGCTTCATCTGGGGATGAAAAGACTTCTTTCCTCACTGAACAGAGCTGGCTTCCTCTGCATCTTCATCCTCCTTTATTTGGGCTTGGCAGCCAACGCATGCCTGGCTAGTAGCCACAGTCGAAATGGGGAACCCACTCAAAGAAAAAATGTTCCTATGTGTTCCTATGCACAAACAAAACTATTTGCTTTAATTCCGTATTTTAAACTTATGTGGTCTTTCCTTCAAACGTAAAAAAATTTAGAGTCCTCCCTAGCTAAGGCAGTTTCCTGTACTGATTTCCTGTACTGTATTCAAAAAAATAGAGAGCATGGCTTTTCAGATTGATAAAGGCAGACAGATAACGATACAGAGAGAAGGAAAAAAAAGCAAGGTCTTGTGGATAAATTTCCACACCCACTGATAGATGTAGTAGTAAACCTACACAGTGAAAACCAAACAGTTTCATGTACCGTTGGGGGAAAAAAACCCAATCAAAAAAACCAACCAACAAAGAAAAACCCCAAACCAAAACCCACAAACCCCCCCCAAAAAAAGACCAACCCCAAAAAAACCACTTGAAAAAAAATAGTACCATCAATAAAAGATTTTGAAATTGTTAAAACAGAAGTCTCATGATAAAAGAGCAAGAAGAAATACCTGAAACAGTAAATTCTTCCATTTAAATGCTTGTGATGCTACTATTCAAGCAGAATACCCTTGTAGGCCATGGCTCTCCTTTTCAGCAACTTGCCCAAAATGTGTCTTTTTACAAGCTGAGCATGAGGAAAAAGTAAATTCATCAAGAAATCCTGACTGGAAGTCGAAAGACAAGCGATGTAGTAAGGCTCCTAAGAAATGCGCCATGCCACCAACATCTATAGCAAATATTAACAAGTACACAATTTAAGAAGGAAAAAAATCCCTACTTTGAGGAAATCTAGTGATGTTGTAAAGAAAAAAGTACAGAAAGTCACAAATTTTGAGTGCTTCTTTCTGGTTTTTGTTTCATGACTGTTACGGCTGCTTACATGTTGCTGCTAACCATAGTTTGCATTTTTTTTCTTGATTCAAATACTGCTTCCACATAGCTGGTGCAATTAGCCTTTTTTCCTCCTTGTTGTAAACATCATAGATTACACTTCTGAAAGGATGAGATACCAGTCTTGTTTGGGACAAATTGTTTAGTCAATGCTCCTGTAGATTTTCCCTATAATTTTCATCCCACATGACACTTCCTGCTTTCTGCTCTAAACTGTCATGTTAGAGTTGGTTGTCTTCCCTTTACATTCCAGAGGCAGGTTGAATTAAGTGGATAAAAGAGTTGCTAAAGTCATGGGCAGTGGTGACTGAGATCCTTGAACAAAATGTACTTATTCCTCTTCTTGTGAGTGTGTAGCTGTTACAAATACTCTAATGGCTTCACAGGAATCCTGTAAAATCTGTTAATAATGTATTTCTTATCCTTATTTTGTGTTAGTACATTACATTTTATTACTACTACTAATAGAATAAACCCAGTTAGTAAGTTGTGAGATATGTCAAGAAGGGGACAGATAGAGGGCAATAGGTTCTAGATAAAGTATTTTAGAGCCAGTACATTTGGGAATACATACATTGCCACTGAATGTGAAGTCTGAATATTCTTTTTTATTGATAAGAAAATATATAATCTCTTTGATGTTGGCTGCCACCTTTAAAATTTTTTCAAGGATCAAATTAGCTTAACATACCTTCAGCATTACGCAAGCAAAGAAGATATAAACATGGATATAAATCAGAATCGTGCAAAAGCAACAGAGACTGCTCTACATGATTTAGGAGCTCCAGGAGAACGAGTCAGCCACTGTATTCTGCACAACCCTATACTGGTTCCCCATATTTGTAGGTCAGCTAAAGAGACCTCCAGAGTACAGTCTGTGAATTCTTACATTGCATTGCTGGCTTCCTCTGTCAGTAAAGTTACAGGAAATACTACCAGCTTGAAGTTTGAGAATCAAAACGTTCAAGCAGAGCAAATGGAAATCAATCCTAAGAAAAGGGTGAATTCAGTGAAATTCTCCAAGCATTATTACTTGAAATTGTGACACTCCAAAATGAGAAGTGAATACAGAATGCTCTTCCAAAGAATAATGTTCCCATGTTGTGATGAAAAAAAAGTGTAGTAGCAGTAGTAGTAATAATAATCTTGCAATGTCTTTATTGCATCTTTCACTTTAAGTAATCTGTTAACCAGCATTAAATGTGTTGTTTTCACACTGCAGTGGACCTTTGGATTTGGTAACAGGTGGGACTTTTTGATAAGAAACAGACATTTATGTAATTAATTTATGGAATAGAATCAGTTTTTTTTTTTCATTTGGGAAGGATGGAGGCTTCCACAGGATCTGTTTAAAGCTAGTATTCTTTCCTTCATCCTATCTCAAGTTTCTGGATAGGTTTGATTATGTTAAATACCCAATGTTCTTCTGCTAGCTGGTTATTAGTAGACTACTTCAATTTTTCAGTGCTTTCTTTTTTAAATCCTTAAGTCTTTACTTGTCTGTTACATCAAATAATAGCTCTATTTCATAGTATGGTTCTTACTCAGTCTTTTGAGGTCTGTCTCACTGGATGTGTTGTGTAGTATCTCTGAATTTTAGTAGTTTTCTTCCTCATTCATAGAGGATAGGGATGACGATCATCAAGACAGATCATTACAGCTAGGTTAGTTGTTTTGGAGGTTCATTAGACAACCTAATATACTTTAGCAAAGCTACTTACTAGCATTAAAGACAGGGTATGTATGTAAGTAAGTCACCTACTATGGGTATCTCGTATCAGAGACATTCAGAACAATGGTTTTCAAATGCTTTCACATTATTTCTCCCATCCTCTAGGCTAAAAACTGCTTTTACAGCGCTTGAGGAGAAGGTGGGGGTGGGGAAAAGACAGAGGCAAAGTAAAACTCATTAATATTTTTTTTAATACTTTTGTTTTTTAATAGCATCAAGTGGAAGAAATTGTTATCTCATCAGGGATATTTATTGCATGGAGATTCTTTAACATGAGTAGTTGATATAGCAGACCAAGTTGATTCTGACACGTTTTCCTGTGTTGATGCATTCAATCATGCAGACACTGCTGTGGTATCAGACCAAGACAGTAAGAAGCTTAACAGCATTGAGCATATATTCAGGATAATGTTAATTTCCCTAAGTTTTCTATTGTTACAGGTATTTCAATATTTTATGTAGTGTTAAATGCAGAAAAAAACCCAACTTGTTTTCACAGTATTGCAAAAGTAACCAAGCTAAAAATGTCTGTTTCATTCACCATGAAATTTTGTAAACGTATAAAAGTTTTAGAAGCCCCTTTGAAAACACCTCACATTGAGCCTAAATGTAAGATACTTGAACATTTCAAGTCCAAGTTCAGTTCTAGTTTGTATGCTGATAACACTGGTATGCTGATAGGACGATACCTAGTTCATATGCTGATAATATTGGTATGAGTAACAGTGAGTAAACAAGTGCTCCAAAAAAGAAAAATTATTGTGCTTAGAACTATGTCAGCTTGGAATAGAAGGTCTCTGCAACTTGAATCTTAACAATGCAGATCATCTCAGATTTTGAAAACACTTAACTGTATACAAAAACTTCAGCTTTTCAGTAGAACACAGTTGTTTCCAAGAACTTTTCAGTGACAGATAGTTGAAACCTCCTTAACAATATGATGTATAATTTTTTTTGTTAACTGGTATTTCTTATTTTGCATTACTCCTTAATAGAAAGTATCACAGTTAATGACCAAAACTGCAGCAAACCTTTCAGCAAACATAATCCAGTGTCTAGTTTCAAGTTTTTCTGGTTATTCTAAAAATTACTAGAAGTCACAGTGCCTCCTAATTGCCTTTGTTTGAAAATATTGTAGTTGTTGAAAAGCAATAGCTCTAACAGTAAAGACTTGTGAGCTTTCTAACTTAAAACGCTGTATTTCATTTGTGTCTTAAAAGTTATGTTAGTACAGAAGGTGGATCAGTATTTAAAAATAAGTAATTAAATTTTTTTTTCACAGAAAGAGACAGCAGCAAAGTAACTCCACTGGAACACATGGTTGTTTAAATCAATTTGTACTGACTTTGTTATTAGTATCCAAGTTCATTTTTATAGAGAGAGAGTGCATGGCCCTATTTCAAGAGAAGCTTGCAAATCATAGAATCATAGAATGTTTTGGGTTGGAAGGGACCCCTAGAGGTCATCTAGTCCAACCCCCCCACAGGAGCAGGGACACCGCTAACTAGATCTGCTCAGAGCCCCGTCCAACCTGGCCTTGAATGTTTTCAGGGATGGGGCCTCCACTACCTCTCTGGGCAACCCATTCCAGTGTTTCACCACTCTCATTGTAAAGAATTTCTTCCTTATATCTAGTCTAAACCTGCCCTGGTTTAGTTTAAAACCATTACCCCTTGTCTTGTCACTGCTGGCCCTACTAAAAAGATTTTCCCCATCTTTCCTATAGGCCCCCTTTAGGTACTGAAAGGCCGCAATCAGGTCTCCCCACAGCCTTCTCTTCTCCAGGCTGAACAAGCCCAACTCCCTCAGCCTGTCCTCATAGGAGAGGTGCTCCAGCCCCTGGATCATTTTTGTGGCCCTCCTCTGGACCCGCTCCAACACTTCCATGTCCTTCTTGTGCTGAGGGCTCCAGAGCTGGACGCAGTACTCCAGGTGAGGTCTCACCAGAGCAGAGTAGAGGGGCAGAATCACCTCCCTCGACCTGCTGGCCACGCTTCTTTTGATGCAGCCCAGAGTATGGTTGGCCTTCTGGGCTGCCAGTGCACATTGCCGGCTCATGTCCAGCTTTTCATCCACCAGCACCCCCAATACTAGCAGTTAAGCTGCCTTGAAATTTTCTGCAGTTTGTTTCTTTTAAAAAGAGTGCATAATTAAGTTACTGATATTTTTATGATCAGAGTAATTTTGTAGTTTAGAAAACTATTTTCATACCTAATGACTGACATAACTATGAAACTTCTTTCCCGCAGTAACAAGAAGCTGTTGTTATGGACTATGGTGAAAACAGAAGTACAAGAATTACAGAAATAAATGAAGACAGATAGGGTAAGTTTATTGAAAGGTTTTTAATCTTAAGTTTCATGTATTAGATTTTGAAATATAGAGCTCTCTTCACAGCATAATGAGTAGAAATCAACTTTTTTGTTAATACTTTAAGGTGGTCGTTGGGAGTTTTGTGTCTGTCTCAGGCTTGCGTTTTGGTCATTTGGTCTTCAAGGCTTTGTAGTGAAGCTGCTGGCAAAGCAGTATTCTTGAGGTTGGCTGCAGACCAGCTCAGCTATGGAAGACTTGACTTAATGTAGAATGTTGTTTATGTTGAAAATTTAGAATATATTCATTTAATATCTATTTATACATTTTTACATCAGTAAAGTACTAGTGGCTTTGGGACACAACTTTTGCTAAAACACGATGAGAATATGTAGCTTTTTTCAAAAGAAGCTGCTTTTGTTCAGCTTGAGTTGCCTGGTACAGTATGAGAGATGAGAACTTACTGAATTGTAGGGAGAAGAAAGGCAGTTTTTCATCTGACTTAGAACAGATAAATTCACTAGGATCCTACAGGGTTTACTAGGTTCTTGTTATGGCTGAATGGGAATTTAACTGTGTCTTGCAGAAGAGGTTTGTTTGCCAGCAGCAGTGCCAGTGCAGCTGACTGCGTGTTGCCTATTCTTTTAAGAAAACAGTATTAGGTTCTGGTAAGTTCTGGTGGTGAACAGGAATACAGCATAAATAAAAATATGTACAGTAACTTTAGATTATTTAATACGATTCTTCAAAATTAACCTGTACTTGTTACAACTTGAGACTTACTTTGCATAGTAGGAGGTCCTCAGATTAATTGCTAAAATGACACAACAATAAATGGAGATGCAAAAGCACAAGTTTGTACTAAGAACATAGACAAATGCAAGAACATGAGTCACATCTTCAAGTAACTTCTTTGGGAAACACACAGTATTAAAACTGCATGAAAAATAATGCATAGCTAACTTGTGGCTGTCGTACATCAAGTGAGAAAAATGCCTTTTAGGATGCATGAAAAGAAAAACATTTATTTGCATAAGCAAGTAATTTGTGCAATTTCAAATTTGGACTTGGAAATGGAGGATTTCTCCTTACCAAATAATCTGGGTGATAATGAAAAGACAAATAGTTTGTTTAAGTTAAGGTCACAGACAAAACCCAAGCCTGAATTCAGAAAGGCACATGGACTGCAGCAATATGAGCTGAAAATACAGTGTAAATTTACAGCAGGAACTCTCTTGTTAAGAAATATTTTGAAAGAGGGAGATAAGCATTCAGCCATTCTCTATATACAGTTTTCCTTGCAGTCAGAAAGTGAGGCACACTGTACTTCATGATGCCAACAGAGGAAGTAGTTAATGAAATATGGCCACTTCAATGGCATTTTCAAGTATACCTTGTCTAATTGTATTTTAACTCTACACAAACTAAAGCAGCAAATACAAATCACATTTTTCTTCTCTGAAGCATAGGAGAGGTATGATTGTTTGGTATTTATTTAGAATTCCCAGTCTGTATCATCTTGATTTGCAGTAATATGTCCAAATTCAGTCCCAACTGCCGTTGAGGGCAGTGCCAAGAACTCTGATGTGTTATTTTGAATAGGAGGTGGTAATAGAGACAGTAGTGAATTCTGTGTTTGTTCTTTTATCTAGAAAGAAGAAAAGTTAAAACAGGGCTGCAAATAAAAGTCAGCATAACCTTGCATCTGACTTCATTAAAAGCACGTGAAATCAGAGCCATGTTACAACATTGAAAATAACAGGATGAAGGGTTTAGTTTCCCTCCCTCAAGAGTATGTTGAATTAGTCTTTCACGACTAATTAAATTAGCTATGCAGTTTTTCTGCTTTTAATTAAGAATGTTAACCATTATTCTTATTAGTTAGGCTGACTTAAGTTAAACTAACTTTATCAAAGGGGAAATGCATTACTGTTATGCTTCCTATACTCTTATCAGTATCATTTTGATAAAAAAGAAATTGTCTGAAGCAGGTATGCTGTTACAGGATGGTTTTTGGCTCCAGCTAACTTTATTTTGTAATCCAACTCTTAAGATTTTGTAGCTTAGTTAAGTTATAGCTGTGTCATTTAACAAAATGTAGTAAACTCACCTGTTTGAAGAACGTATGCGAAAGCAAACTGCTTGCTGATGGCCTGAATCATAAAATAAACAATATAATTATGTTTTAGAAAGAAAAATACTGCTTTTGGAAAATGGGCCAAACTGACAAATCAATTTAAGCCCTGTGGTTTTTCATCCACAGGACAAATATGAACCGTGAGAAAAGCAGCACGGAATTCCTACATTTTATGCATCAATTTGTAGTGAAGGCACTACTAAAGAAATCTTTTTTTTTAAAGGCTTATTCACTTTTCTGTTTAACGAGGAATTTAATGCCTCATTCAGAGGAGACATAGTACTGAAAACATATTTCAGATTTCTGATTTTTCTTGGACAAAGTACATGTTTAAAAGTTAATTTTACTTGTTGCAAAGTACATTCACATTACAAGAAATTCAGGGGTCAAATTACTTTAAAATAATGGTTCCTTTATCAGACAAGATAATTCTTAAATTACAAAACCAAAGGTAAGCGTAGTGTTTTGCATAGTACCTCTGGTCTGAAATTCTGACTTTAACAGTATTCAACTGATTACTGTATCCTAAATTGTGGGCCTTGGTCTTAGACTGAAGTGACAGAAAATTAGTTTTCACCAGAAGGTTACCTTTTCTCAGGGTCCTGTTGCAAACAAAGTTCTACCAAGTTGTGGAAAGCAGGTGAAAACGTTTTGGAAAAGGGAATTTGTAGTCTTTCACTGGTCATTGTGCGTGTCATGCTCTCACCGATTCCAGAATCAACACCTGACCGGGAATTCTTTATCCTGGATTCCCCACGGGGAAAGGTATTTATGTCCCAAGGACAATACGTGGGACCTTTCAGCTTTTGTAGCAGCATCTAGTAGAAAGGAACAGCAGTGTAAGAGTCCAGTAGCTATCCAGACCTGTGAAGCTGTGAAACTCCAGGAGTGGAAGGATTATTTGATCTAGAAAGAAGCACGCATATTTGAAATAACAAAAAGCAGCCTCCATTTCAGCAGTAATAGCATTGGTTTCTCTGAGTAAAACAAAATAAAGCTCAGAGTGTTTTGAAGTAGAAATAGAGTTTAGTGTCATACCTGAGTGCGAGGCATATCTTGAAAAGGAACGTGTCCATTTGCTAATTCACATGCTGTAATTCCCACGCTGTAAATGTCAGATTTCATGTTATACCCAGACAAATCCTGTGAGAAAAAGAAAACTCTACTGGATCACTGATGCCACTGAGCAGTGACAACAAAAATAAAAGTGTCTGTTTCAGGACAAGATTCTAATACCTTGTAATCAGGATTGAGGCAATTAAATTGTAAAACCTCAGGCTTTGTTCAGAAATCTGATGGTTGTACTGAAGTTTTAGGATCTGCAGTAGTTTTCAGGAAGGTCAGGTAACAAGACTTAATACAGCACCACCTTACCAACAGCTTTAAAACCAGTTCTCTTTTGGAGAATTACAAATTCAGTATGTCTATGTCTTTTAAAAAGTTGCGGTTCAACAGCTTCCATTGCACTTCTAGAAGCATACTTAAGTTAGAAGTTGAGTACTTCCAGTAACTTTGAATAGGAAAAATGAAGTGTAATTTATACTAACCTGTCTCAGTAGTTCAGGACTCAGCCAAGGAAGCACGGATGTACTAAATTGGGGGAAATCATATACCACCTTTGACTTTTGTCCATTGCTAATTAAACTGTAGAGGTTGTTTAAGCCAGAGAGAGAAACCAGCCCATCCCCTGAAATCAGAATGTGGCTAGCTTTAATATTCCTGTAACATAAAGTGGTAAATTTTAGTTATAAGAATTACTCAAAGCACTACTAGAGTAGAAAGGCTTTCATATTTCATTAACTTATACTGAGATGTTAGCATGCTGTTCTACTTAGCAGATTATTTTCATGTAAATTCTTCGCTCAGTATGGGTTGTCTTTTTAATACAGTGCCAAGAGATAGGAGAGATGATCAGCAAGAAGAAACTGCCAGAAACAGAAATAGAAGGGCTCTATTCCCCTTCAAAGGGTGTAAAGTAAGGAAGCCCTTTCTACAACTCTGATTCTCCCACTTCAAAGAGACAAAGCCAGACAGATGTATAATCCTGTAACAATTAGCTTTAAATAATGTATGAATACCATTCTTGTTAAGCTTCTACAAATTTGGTTCTGCTGTATTATTGAGAAAAACGTTTCTGCACTGATGTACAAAGGTATATAGGAAAAGAAAGGAGATAACACTTAAGCTGAGAATTAGTTTTGAAGTGAAACTAAATACTTAGTAAACTGGATGCTGTAATCTGATTACTACCTATTCACATTCTCCTACCTGTGGATGTAGCCATTCTGGTGCATGTAATTTAATCCTCTGATTGCACCAAACAGAATGTTTCCTATCAAAGCTTCACTCATTCCTTCAGGAAAGTAAGTCTTCAGCAGGTGTCTAGCTGAACCTGGAAGTGAAAAAAAAAACTAGCTAAGCCTAACAAGTCTTGTTAAACTACTTGTCTATGCTTGCTTCACTGTACACATCATTCTCGTCTATATTGACCATAGTACATCAAGAACAATTAGATGGATGCAACTGATGTATCCATCAGGCAAAGACTGCACTCAAGTCATGCTTCTGTTAACTGAAAGTCTATGCCAAACCTGTATTCAATCCAGACAAGTTTTCTGTTGGCAAAATTGAAAATTGCATAAAGTCAAATAGATCCCCCGATTATCATCCCTCTCATAGTGGGTGTTAGGAGGACTAAGGGCAATTTAATGCAGTTCAAATACTAATCTCCACTGGGAAGGAAGATTATGGACAGAAGACTTCTCTAAACAAAATGGGAAAATTTGGGAAAGTTTGGTTTTTCTGTAAGACAAAAGATGCTTAAAAAAAAACCACTCATGGACCATGTGGTCCAAATTGTATCAGCTCTTTTTCCAATTCCAAAATTGCCGTTAACAGTTCTTACCATAGGCCATGAATGGGGAGATGACCCAAAGCCAACTACCAGCTGTAAACACTGTCCAAAGCGTCATTACGTTGGGATGCTGGAAAAAGTGGGATAAAACCACCTCATTCTACGGAATTAAATAAAAATGGATGTGTTAACCACAATACAAGAGTCTTACTAAGAGCATTAAGTATGTCAGTAATCAGTAGAAGGAACTGTTCCCTGTGTGTGTTTATATGAAGTTGCAGGTGATGTGCATAGCCTGCAATAGGAATGTAAATAGCTTGCCTATATTCTTACTTGTCTGAAGTAAATCTAGTTTGCTCATAGTCTGAAGTTTTGGTGTTAAATGCAGAATACAGAACATGTTTCAAAGAAGAAGTTGTACAATTACAGAAGTATTTCTAACACACTTGTCAGCTGTTCTCTTCAGAAAGCAGCTCTCAAATTTACACATGCTTTCTGTTTATATTCTACTCCTTTGAAGGAAAAACTTGACTGAAATGACACAGTACAAACATAAAGGCTACCTCTGTTTAGTAACCTCGTATGTATTAACTACTGTCTTCATTAAGACTTGTGCAGAAATGCTGTTGCTTTACCTGTAAGGCTTTCAAATGCTCTTCAGAGCAGTTTTCTAGGTCTGTGATTCTCACAGCAACTTGCATTCCTGTAGGTGTATGCCGTGCAAGGTAGACTGAAGTTAAGTTGTTGAACCTCCTTCCTGAAACCAGAAGTGGATACCTTAACATTGGAAAATATAATAATCCACCACATAATTTCCTTCATATTTAGAGATAATTTTACAGTTCTAAAATTACAATTGATAGCAGCATGACCTTTTCTTTAAGAATGTCAAGAACTTAAGTAGTTGCAGCAAGATATACCCAGTAAATTAGTTGAAGCATGGCTCTGCTATTTTTAGAACAACTAAAAATGTTTAAACATTTGTCAGTATCAATTATACATCTAAATGAACAACACTTTTAGCATGCATATTCACATATACATATGCATGGACAGTAGGATTCCCATCCTTGGGACGATCAACTGAGGCAGCCAAGTGACAAGACATGATGTTACTTAATGCTGTATTGTCCACATACCACAGATTTAGAAAACTGACATGCACGTGCACCAACACCAAGAAAAAAAAAAAAAAATCAGGTAATTGCTGATCTGTCTTACATCTTAAAATAAGTGATTACTGAAACATAAGCAATGTTCTGCACTTTTCTCAACTAAGGAGACACGAGAATAGTTCTAGCCAGCTGATAATACATTTCCCAAACTTAGTATTTACTGCAGTTAGCAATAACCTATCGAGAGCATGCATCTGCAGGAACAAGAAATATTTTAAGGCACACTTACGTTACCTATTTCCAGCTGGAGTTCATAGTGAGAGACATTAGAAGAGCAAAATACCATTCCATTCCTTCCTGTAGATGGGGTAATCCAGGCTAGATCAGAATCAGCCTAGCAGTGAGGAAAAACAGTTCTCAATGACAATGTAATTTTTAAACATTTACATGTTTAAAATTAACACAGAACTATCATTAATTAGAACGCTAAGATCAAGTACTCAGAATATTCAAGCTGGTGCTTTTACCATTGCACTGAGACTTAGTTTTATGAGCTGCTGGGTTTTGGTTTTTGGTTTGTTTTTTTTTTCCACAGAATCGTAGAACTGTTTAGGTTGGAAAAGACCTTTAAGATCATGAAGTCCAACCGTTAACCTAACACTGCCATCCCACCACTAAACCATGCCCCTAAGCACCTTGCCTACCCATCTTTTAAATACCTCCAGGGATGAGGACTCGACCACTTCCCTGGGCAGCCTGTTTCAACGATTGACAATGCTTTCGGTGAAAAATTTTTCCTAATGCCCAACCTAACCTGCCCTGGTGCACCCTGAGGCCACTTCCCCTCATCCTATTGACCAACACCCACCTCACTACAGCCTCCCTGTAGTTGTAGAGCGCGCTAAGGTCTCCCCTCAGCCTCCTTTTCTCTTTTCATGTGTGTGTGTGTTTTGTTTTTAAACTGGTACAACATTAAGAGTAACACTTAGGCTATAGTTTTCTTACAGAGTGGAAGCCCTGAAGTACTCTGGTTATTTTTCCTGTTAACATTTTAAGAAGTACCCCCTAATGAGATTATTTTTAATATGCACCAGCTTCGTATTTAACATTGCCAGTTAATGTTTCTATTTTCTTTTTACCAGGCATTCATGGACACTGCTCTGAGATAGCTCTTCTGGTCTGATTGATTCAACTGGTGTACGGAGAATACAGGAACAGTCCTTGAGAACAGAAACAACTGAGTGTTAGTGGAGTTGCCGCAGTGGGAAAACATCAAAAATAGCCCATACAAGCAGAGTTCAGAAAGTTTTCTGCTACAAGTCGGTCAAGCAAGATGTTAAGAAATAGCATAGAGCACATGCATGGCAGATCTAGAAGAGATACTAAACACTGTCCTTCACCAAAAGTTAATACAACGAAGTTTAAACATCTCAGCACAGTGGAAATCCCCTCAAGCAAGACATTTCACCAGAACTTTTTCACATTAAGGTATGACTGCGTAACAAGGTACGGCTGCCAAGGGTTTTTAAATACAAACTTACCAAACAAGACATGGAACCGCTTTAGATAAGGGGAAAAGTCACACACACCCATTTATCCTAGAAAAATTAAAGTAGCAATGTAAGATTGTACATAAACCTGTGATAAATACGCCTTTTTAATTGTAACTGTGAGGCATTCCTCTCAGTTAACACACACACACACACACACACACACACAAACAAACAAAAAGAGCCCAAAACTACAGCCCTGGGAAAGCCTGCTTCTATTGAGCCTTTAAGCAGCACATGGATTTCAAACTCCATACTGAGGCTATGCAATATACATTCCAACTCAAGTTTTCCTTCTTGATTCATGGGTTTAGAGATCTTATTACCGCTTCTGAACAAACAATTTAATTGCAAGTTAACTGCATAAGTGCAGGAAGTGAAAAGGAACAGATTCATGAATCCCTGGGATTTCATAAGAAAAAATGTCTGTTGTTTTAAAGGAGCACAGCTGTGCTAGTCAGATACCGGCTCAGCTGTTACAGCTGAACTGGCTCACAAAAAAGGCAAGCCAGAAGCAATTGCACTTTGCATTTCACAAGTGAGAGAGGAAATACTGTAAGGGGCTTTGCCTTAAAAAAAAAGGGGAACCAACTCAGATAATTTTCACTTTACTTAAGCTACAGAATCAGCATTCAAACACCCTCACAGATCAGAGCAGCCACTGTAAAATTCCTCCAGCAGACTTACTTTCTGTCTCATGCTTTGAAAGCTTAGGCAATGAGGAGAGGGATATGATTATGTCTAATAAGCATATCAAAGCTTCTGAAGTGTAGAGTGGGACTAGCTAATTTACTTCAGCTACAACCAAGTCTTATACCATGATGAATCCTACTTGGTGGCTGACAAAGTCAGCTACAGGGGTCAGTTCCATGTTAATATGCAATTATTGCTTGAACGTTAACTTTAAAAACATGAAGTACTATATCATAAACTGATAATTTTATCAAGGAGCTAAACTGGACTATATCCTGCATTTAAATTATGTATGCTATTTAATCAAGGCAATACTCTTGAAAAGCTAACAAGCTCCCACTGCCAAATATCCAAGCTGCTCCTAATCCTTAATATTTTTACCCTGAAAATCTGCTTGATATAAATAAATACCGTAATTCTTCATTAAAGATGAAAAATGGAGACAAAAGGAAATCCTTAGTAGGTGTTTGGTGCCTTCAGAGGACCAGGGCTTGACTTACCCAACTTCACTGAGGAAGTCTGTGGCAGATTAAGAAAAAAATATGCAGGTGCTTCAAGATACTGGCCAGCACTGTAACGGCTACAGCATCTTTCTCCTACCTGGAAAGAAGATACCTCATTCCATTATACAAGATAATTTATTCTGTTGCTTGCAATGTGAAACCACAAGACCTAAGCTGAAGAATAATGTCGTAATAACTATGATGCACCAAAGTCAGATCATTGTAGAATTTGTTCAAAGTGGTATAGCCAGCCAACAGAAACATCCATGATCCACATTTGTTCAAATAACATTACATTTGTAAAATTTTAGGGGTTCTTACGTAGTTTAACATTGCTTCCATTTTCAATACGGTTTTGGATTGTGTCTCTACACGCTTGAAGCTCCTGCTTCAGTGCTCGAAGTGACTGAGGCAGCTCTCGGTGGTGGCTCTCGAATCAAGTGATCGGTCCGTGACAAAGTGACGGACCGTGAGAAAATGACGCCCCGGCGGCTCTCCCAGCAGAGCCCCTCACTTGCTCCGTTAAACTCTTACCTCGCCTTCCCCGCGGCGCCCG